TCATTCATGCAGTAAATACTCAAGCATCATCTGTGTGCCAAGCACACTTCTAGGCACTTGAGGTAAAGTGAACACACACAAATCCCTGTCCACGTGTTGTTTACATTAGTAAGGGAAACAAACAAAAAATAAATACATTTCATAATGTGTTAGAAGGTGATTAATACTATAGAAGAAAGTAATTCATTGAAGGGGGATGTGTGTATACACACACACATATATGTACATAGATTTCAACTGTAAGTTGAGTGGTGAGGGAAGGCGTGAAAAATTAAATTAGAAAAATATATTTATTGACATGGAAAGATGCTTCTGTATATTGAAAATTCAGGAAGGGTATGTGCCAAAATATCATTAGTGATTATCTCTGGGTGGTAGATTTTATGGGTGATTTTATTTTGTTCTTTTTGCTGTCAATATTTTCTGATTTTTTTGATAATGAACACATATTTCAATATATTAAAATAAGCCTTTCAGTTACAAAGTTTTTAAAAAGTTAACCAAGCAGAATGGAAATTAAGCAGCCTAACAGAGCTCCTTCACATTTAAATGGCCATCTCACTTCTGTGCAAGGGCAGACCTAGGGAGTTAAGGTAAGGTAGGCAGGGCCAGACCACATTAAAAGATAATTGCGGTCTGCTCCAAAATACAGGTGAGTAAACGAGAAAGGCTCCAAGATTCTTTATCAGCACTGTCCAATAGGAATGTAACATAAGCCACATAAATAGTTTTACATTTTCAAGTAACTTCATTAAAAAAGCATTCATTATATTTTATTTAGCCCAGTATATAAAAAAATTATGATTTCAACACGTTATTAGTATTAAACAATTATTAATGAGTTATGTCAAATTCTTTTTTTCATACTAAGTCTTCAAAATTTGGTGTGTATTATATACTTTCAGCACATCTCAAAACGGACTACTCATGTTTCAAGTGTTCAATAGCCATGTGTGACTAGTGCTTATCATATTAAACAGTGTAGTTCTAGATCATAGAGAATTATTGTAGCCTGTAAAAATTCACAGCAGGAGTTGGCCAAGTGTCGTAGCTCACGCCTGTAAACCTAGCACTCTGGGAGGCCGAAGCGGGAGGATCACTTGAGGTCAGGAGTTTGAGACCAGCTCTGAGCAAGAGAAAGACTGTGTCTACAAAAAAAAACAGCCAGGCATGGTGTCTGCGCACCTGTAGTCCCAGCTTCCCCCGGGGCTGAGGCAGGATTGCTTGAGCCCAGGAGTTTGAGGTTACAGTGAGCTAAGATAACACCACTGCACTCTAGCCATGGTGACAGAGCAAGATAATGTCTTAGAAAAAAAAAGAAAAGCAGAAGTTAAAAATGGGGATGAAACTACAAAGAGGCCAAATATTTTTGTTTAGTGAGAAAACTTTTTTCCTTCTAGGCAGAACTGGAGATGCCCTCTCCCATTTTTACTGCTTACTTCTCCTTTTCTCAACCCACTGACAATTCCTTTCTATTAACATATTTTTCTCTCTTCTGGGGCACAACATCATTGGAGCTTCAGTTTTTCTAACCTCCAGAGTCCTCTATTTATTAAGTTATTACTTAAAGAGAATCATACTCAAAATGGGTGAATCTCACACCAGTATATACTAATTTAAAAAAAGTTCATTCTCAGAGGAAAATTTATCTCTTTGTTATTCTCTACGCACCAACAGGCAAGATGTTGATATTAAATAAGATCATTCATTCAGTTAGCACTTATTAAGCACAGAGTGATAGTCGAAGGAAATACAAATATAATTAAGATGGCGTCCTTGCCTTTTTCAGTTTATAGTCCAATAGAGAAGGATCTTAATTTACAAGCCATCATTCAAATATATATATCTTTTAAGAGACAGGGTCTTGCTCTGTCACCCAGGCCGGAATGCAATGCTGTGATCATGGCTCACTGCAACCTCGAACTCCTGGGCTCAAGCAATCCTCCTGCCTTGATCTCCCAAAGTGCTGGGATTATAGGTGTGAGCCACCATGCCCAGCTCAAATATCTTTTTAAATGTGCTTGTTTTTTTGAGAAAGTTTAGAAGGTTGGGGTGATTTTTTAAAAAAATTTGTAGCGACTGTGGAGAATTTGTAGAACATAAAAGTTTTTTTAATGCTTACATTTGCCTTTTATTGCTAGGTTTCTCTACTTGGCCTATTAGGAGAACATAGAAAATTATAAAGAAACAAATTAATCATGATCCTACTACCTGGAGAAAACTACTATTAACATTTTAGCATATTTCTTTCCAGTCTTTTATCTGTGCTTTTATGATCATACTGTACATACAATTTTGTATACTGCAATTCTGCTTACCATTATATTCCAAGCACTTTTCCTTGTCATTAAAATGTTTTGAAGACATAATGATTATATAAAATTACACCTATGTCTATACAATAATTTTAATGCCCATTTGGGCATTTGAGTGGTTTATATTTTTCACTTTGATAAGCATCTTTATTACAAATGTTTTTCACTTTTTAGCTTACTTCTTTACAAAAGATTATAAGAAATAGTATTACTGGGTTAAAAATCTAAAAATTTTAAAAGCTCTTGGTATATATTGCCAAAGAATAGAAAATTTGTACTGGTTCTTGTTCCTTTTTTCCCCCATGCTCATTAAAAAAAAAAAAAATCAAGTGTATAAAGTTGGGAAGAGTTGGGTAAAAGAAATATTAAAAAAAAAGAAAGAAAAAATCAGATATACATAGTTGTAATCATACTTTATATACAACTTTACATTCTACTTCTTTGGCTTAACAAAATTATTATTATTATTATTTTTTGAGACAGAGTCTCACTTTGTTGCCCAGGCTAGAGTGAGTGCCGTGGCATCAGGCCTAGCTCACAGCAACCTCAAACTCCTGGGCTCAAGCGATCCTCCTGCTTCAGCCTCCCGAGTAGCTGGAACTACAGGCATGCGCCACCGTGCCCAGCTAATTTTTTGTTTCTACTTTTAGTTGACTGGCTAATTTTTTTTTTTTCTATTTTTAGTAGAGATGGGGGTCTCACTCTTGCTCAGGCTGGTCTCGAACTCCTGAGCTCAAGCGATCCGTCCACCTTGGCCTCCCAGAGTGCTAGGATTACAGGTGTGAGCCACTACACCCAGCCAACCAACAAAATTATTTTTGCATGGTTATCACAAACTGTGTAAACCTTTTAATAGGTACATAATAATCTTTGATTGGATGTAATTATGGTTTTCTTAAACTTTCGTCTATTGTTAGAAGTTAGTTTTTTCCAATTTTCAGGATCATACATAATATAATTTTTGTGTATTAAAGCAAACCTTATAGTAGGTTTTTTTTTTTTTGAGACAAAGTCTCACTCTGTTGCCTGGACTAGAGTGCCGTGGTGTCAGCCTAGCTCACGGCAACCTCAAACTCCTGGGCTCAAGAGAAGCTCCTGCCTCAGCCTTCCCAGTAGCTGAGACTACAGACATGCGCCATCATGCCCGGCTAATTTTTTCTCTATATATTTTAGTTGTCCAGCTAATTTCTTTCTATTTTTTTAGTAGAGACGGGGCTCTCGCTCTTGCTCAGGCTGGTCTCGAACTTCTGAGTTCAAATGATCTGCCCGCCTCGGCCTCCCAGAGTGCTAGGATTACAGGTGTGAGCCACAACGCCCGGCCCTTATAGTAGTTTTAATCTGAGTTTGGAAAGCTAGGTTTGAATTCCCTGTACAAGTCTAATTAGCCCGATGACTTAGGCAAGTTACTTCACTTCATTAATCTTTTTTCTTCTTTTCTAAAAAAGATTATGGTTTTGGAAATATTTTCTTCATAGGGTTGTGAGAATTCAATGTGATAATAAGGAGTGATGCGTGTTACAAAATCAAGTGCTCAATAAAATTAGGATTCAAAGGCATTTTTTAAAAGTCACATTTCCTGAATTGGATTATTTAAATTAGGCACCAATAAGACACCCAAATCTTGATTAGGTTAAGATCAGTATAAAAGACCTTTCTTCCAGGAAACGCAATCATTCAGAGCTTGTCTTCAGCGCTCAACTTTAGTTCTCCCAGATCACTGAAGCTGACATGGCTGAAATAATTTCCAGTGAAATTTTAAGCGACTGTGACTCTGCTCCAAGTTCCTCTGAGGTAAGAAATTGTGAGAAAACGTGGGGGTGAAGGGAAGAAGGGGGTATAATGAGCTTCCTTTTATTTTTCGGTTTGCTAATAGGTATCTCCTCTTGTCCAGATCCCTATTCCAACCATGCTTAACTTTTTGATTGAGCTCATGTGATTCTGGCTTTTCAAACTATAGCTTGGTTTGCCTACAGAAACTCCTCTTGCAGACTTAGCACCGCCATTCTTTCCTTTTAAGTCTGTAGGATCGCTACTAAAAGGTGGCAACACTGCCTCCCAGGGTTAGGTCTCATTGGTATCTCCGGGTGCAGAGGTGTGGTGGGAACTCAGAGAAATTCCGGGATCTGAAGGAGGGCTTCGGGGCTGGGAAAGCGCTGAAGATGAAGGGTGGCACCCACATCCCCAATCTATGCGTCTTTTGGTCAACAAACATCCAATGGGACACTTACTCCACGAGGTGGAGATGCAAATATAAACAGGATCCCAGCCCCTCATCTGCAGACGCTCACAAACCTAGTTAGGAAAACAGCACAAAGCACAGTGAGGTAGGCCCACTTGTTATGGGAAAGGAGGGGAGGCTAGTGGAAGGTTTCGCAGGAGGTGATGCTGCAGATTGCAGTGGTCTCTGTATGTAGAGGCATGGACTAGGTGCCGGTATACCCACTGTAACGAGGAGTATGGAAGTAAACATTTGCGAAGTAGCCAGGTCCTGGGGAGTCTAAGGCCACCACAAGGGGTCTTGAGACTTTACCTGGCCAGCAAAGGGGAGCCAGTCTGGTAGTGGTGCAGACTGGAGGGGTGACGCTGGAAGCTGAGAGACCCTCTTAGGGGTCTGTAGCAAACAGTTCAGGCAAGAGTATAAACAGACTGAAACTGGGTAGGTAGGGGCAGAGGTCCTGTAAGGAGGGCCTGTGCAGGAGGACAGGACAGACAGGACTAGTGCCTGGTAGCTCTGAAGTGAGGATTCCTCCCTGCTTTCTCCTTTGGGAGAGCTGGTGGATGATAGTGCCAAAAACCTGGATTATGAAAAGTAAACTCCCTCCTGGAATGCTCCATTTGCTGCAACATCCCATCTACTGGTGCTTTCCTGGTCAGGAGACCAGTTTCCAGAAACCGCCTCTGCCTTCGTCCTTCGAACTGCTCACTAGTTGGCCAGCAGTAGGATCAAGATGGCGGCCCCTTAAAGACTGACTAGTCACGTGACCTCGGGTTTCCCTAGTTTGAAGCCCAGCTGTCTGTTCTGGGGCAAGGTTCACCTGTCACGAAAGGGGTGTCAGCCTTCGTAACTCGCCAGCCAATTGGCATCTGCGACTGGGCCACTGCGGTGAGGCGAACGGAAGATTGGTTCTTTCCAGTCGCCTAGCCAGGGGCCAATCACAGAGCGTCCTATGCTTCGCGGGCCCGCCCATAGGCAGGGTGAAGCGGGAATGTCGTCACAGCGTGGCACTATTGTTACCTAAAGACTCGGGAGGAGGTGGGACGTATGTTGATTGACAGACAAATTTCCCCTACCGGGATTTGAGAATTTGGCACAGTACCCCCGCCTTAGGGGTGGGGTCTTATTTGATTGCCAAGTAATATTCCCCAATGGAGTCCTAGCTCATGGTGACGGGCAGGCTGCTTGACTAATGAATCCTCGGCGTGGCCGGCGCAGTTCTCCAATCGCCGGGCGGCGGGCCCCAGTCTGAGCGGCGATGGCGGCGGCGGCGGCGGCGGCAGCAGCAGCGGGGGCTGCGGGCGGTCGGGGCTCCGGGCCGGGGCGGCGGCGCCATCTTGTGCCCGGGGCCGGTGGGGAGGCCGGGGAGGGGGCCCCGGGGGGCGCAGGGGACTACGGGAACGGCCTGGAGTCTGAGGAACTGGAGCCTGGGGAGCTGCTGCTGGAGCCCGAGCCGGAGCCCGAGCCCGAAGAGGAGCCGCCCCGGCCCCGCGCCCCCCCGGGAGCTCCGGGCCCTGGTCCTGGCTCGGGAGCCCCCGGCAGCCAGGAGGAGGAGGAGGAGCCGGGACTGGTCGAGGGTGACCCGGGGGACGGCGCCATTGAGGACCCGGTGAGGGAAGGAGGGCGAGCGAGAAGGCCGCCGGCCGGCGGGCCGGGTCACGGGAGGCCCGGAGCTCGAGCAAGCGGGAGGCAGGCGGGGGGTGGGGTTGGGCGGGGAATAACGTGGCTGGGGCCGGGCCGTGTACGGGTCCGCGATCGCTACAAGGGGCCCGGCCTTGTTGATTCGGGCTTCATGGGTGCCTAGTGTTGTTCTAGAGAGGGCGGCTTGCTTTTTTTTTTCATCACGACCCTCGCGTGGGTTGAGGGAAATGGCCGAGCATGTCTGGTGCCGCGCGTCGACCGAGAGCAGGGCACAGCCCCTGCGTTGGTTCCTCGTAAGCTCTTCTCCATACCCTCCCCACTTATTGTAGGAGCTGGAAGCCATCAAAGCTCGGGTCAGGGAGATGGAGGAAGAAGCTGAGAAGTTAAAAGAGCTACAGAACGAGGTAGAGAAGCAGATGAATATGAGTCCACCTCCAGGCAATGGTGAGTAACTGGCGGTTGCACGCGGAGCCCGGGTTCTCGGGTTGTACGGACACGGAGAATGTGGGAATAGATGCTCGGCACCCTGGAGTTGCTTGTCTGAGCAGTTACAGTGCAGGTGCCACTGTCATAGTCCATTGTGTGTTCCCCTGACCTTTGTGAGACAGAACCTGTGTTTTGGTGGTGGTAGTCTTGTGACTGCCTTTGTCCCTGTTATATATGTGTTGCTCTTTGTTCTTAGTCTACCTCTGCCCTTCTTTGTGGAGCTTGCCAGCTTGCATTTGACCTTCAAATCTAATAGTTTTTCCTTCAGTTGGAGACCTTTTAGTTAGGATTCCTAAGAGAAAGAATGCTGCAAGGGGCTTTCCCTTTAATCCAGAAATGTCGAGTCTCAGCCCACTTAATTTTATTCACTCTTCAGGGCGTTGCAACTGAAGCTATTCAGTAGGGGACTTGATTTGGGGGCAGGGAGATTCCTACACATTTCTCTGTAATTTTTAAGGGTGTATTTATTCTTTAATTTGTCAAGTATTTAGTAATAGGCACCTATGTACCAGGTACTATTCTAGGGAATTGGTAAAGCAAGGAACAGAACAGACCAAAATCTTTGCCTTTAGTGAGCCTATAGTATAGTGTTGGTGACAGAAGTGCATATATTGGTTAAGTAAAACAACTGTTTTTTGCCTTTTTTTTTTTTTTCTTTTTTCCACCTAGCTGGTCCAGTGATCATGTCCATTGAAGAGAAAATGGAGGCTGATGCCCGTTCCATCTATGTTGGCAATGTATGTGCTAGGGCTTTGGTAGGGGTTGGGAGCAAGTTCTTACTTTGGGGAAATATTAATCGTCTTGAAAGGAGTATCTCCAGGATAGGTGGTTTGGGGTGTGGAGGGAGTGTTGGGAAGAGGTGAAAGGTACTGGAGTGATTAGTAAAGGCTCTGGGGTTAGAAGGAGTAGGAATCAGTTCCTTCGAGAACCAGATTTGATTTGCCTTAGTGTGTATAGATGGCCCAACCAAAGGCTAGGATCCTGTTGAGACAGGAGTTTGTCCAGTACCTGTAAAATGTCTCCTCTCTTGTCAGGTGGACTATGGTGCAACAGCAGAAGAGCTGGAAGCTCACTTTCATGGTTGTGGTTCAGTCAACCGTGTTACCATACTGTGTGACAAATTTAGTGGCCATCCCAAAGGGTAAGTAGGGGAGTAAGTTGAGATCATTTAAATCGCAGTTTAAAAATGGATAAATATTTTATATTAAGCAGTAAGTTGCTGTTAAAACAAGTGGTCCTTGTCTTCTAAGATAATTACATTAATGTTGATATGTATTAGGAATTGCACATAAATGCTTTCAGAGGCCAGACAGGTGACAAAAATGAAGGCTAGGTGTGGGTGGGATCATGAACGAGGCTGCTTCTACTTGGTCCCAGCTGGTTAAGGCCATATGGAAATGCAGGGCCTGTGTGCCCTATTTTTTTTTTGTTGTTGTTAATGTTTTTCTTGTATGACAAGATAAGTAAGTGTCCCGTTTTTTAAAATCCAAAGAGTAGCTGGAAATTTCGATTAATCTTTTATTTAAAAAAATTTTTTTAAATAATTAAAAATGTAAACATACTAGGCCGGGCGTGGTGGCTCACGCCTGTAATCCTAGCACTCTGGGAGGCCGAGGCGGGCGGATTGTTTGAGCTCAGGAGTTCGAAACCAGCCTGAGCAATAGCGAGACCCCATCTCTACTAAAAATAGAAAGAAATTAATCGGACAACTAAAAATACATAGAAAAAATTAGCCGCGCATGGTGGCACATGCTTGTAGTCCCAGCTACTCGGGAGGCTGAGGCAGGAGGATCGCTTGAGCCCAGGAGTTTGAGGTTGCTGTGAGCTAGGATGACGCTATGGCACTCTAGCCCGGGCAACAAAGTGAGACTCTGTTTCAAAAAAAAAAAAAAAAATGTAAACATACTGTACCCAAAGCATGCCTGGGAGTTGAATTTGACCTATGAGCTGTTTGCAACTTAAAAGAGAGAAAGTGACAATTACTCTTTTTAGGTTTGCATATATAGAGTTCTCAGACAAAGAGTCAGTGAGGACTTCCCTGGCCTTAGATGAGTCCCTGTTTAGAGGAAGACAAATCAAGGTAAGCCTGTGCCCATTGCTGTTCTCGTTCTATGTGAACTCTCCAGGTTGACTCTTAAGGCTTTCCATTGTACATCCTTTACTCTCAGGTGATCCCAAAACGAACCAACAGACCAGGCATCAGCACAACAGACCGGGGTTTCCCACGAGCCCGCTACCGTGCCCGGACTACCAACTACAACAGTTCCCGCTCTCGATTCTACAGTGGTTTTAACAGCAGGCCCCGGGGTCGCGTCTACAGGTCAGGATAGATGGGCTGCTCCTCTCCCCCGCCTCCCATGAGCCCTGTATGCTTCCTTCTCTCCTGATGTGAGGAACCTCCCTCCCTTCCCCTCCCCTTGGTCTCCAGGGACTTGGTCTCCTGCCTGTGCAGGGTGAGGAAGGTAGTTGCAGGCCCCACCAGGCCAGTCTTACCATCTTTTCTGGAGCAGGAATTGGTGATAAGGGCTGGATCTCTCCATCTAGTCTGAAAGATACTTTCTACCCCAGCCTTTTTTTTTCATTGGGAGTTGGTGGCAGTGAAGGTGTTTACACTGAAAGCTAGGAAGAATGGGGCCTCGGGGCAGTGAAAGCTCCGCTTGGACATTGGCTACTTTTCCCTGAGTTAGGGAGAGGTTGAAGTTTGAACCTCCCCAACAGCTATGTGGGAGGATTTTGAGATATTTACTCTTTATTTGTGCCAGTCTTGCAAGGTTAACTGTCTCACTGGGCCTAGTGTGGTACTCATGTTTTTGCTTTGCTTTACTTTCTCTTTACATTTAAGTAGACAGGTTAGACATGTAAACCTTGGCTTTTCATAAGATCTACCTGTCTGCTCCCAGGAGTTAGGGAGGATCTATTGGTGAGGGCCTAGGGTTTAAGAGCTGTGGAGAACTGAAAACTGGACAAACGGCGGTCCTTTCTCTTGCCCCTGTGTCTCAGATGCACTTTATTGCCACTGTTTGGTAAAGTGTTCTGTTAAACACTCCCCACCCTCAAATTCACTGGGTGTGTTGCTATTTCTGGGATTGTGGGGTCAGTTTTAGGGCACTTGAAAACTTCTTTTCCCCCCTTCCCTTCACAGTAACTGGGGCAAGGGCCCACGGGGAGGGTCTTGTACTGAACTGTCTAGTGATCATGTTAACACCTAACTCTCCTTCTTTCTTCCAGGGGCCGGGCTAGAGCGACATCATGGTATTCCCCTTACTAAAAAAAGTGTGTATTAGGAGGAGAGAGAGGAAAAAAAGAGGAAAGAAGGAAAAAAAAAAGAATTAAAAAAAAAAAAAGAAAAACAGAAGATGACCTTGATGGAAAAAAAAATATTTAAAAAAAAAAAAAAGATATACTGTGGAAGGGGGGAGAATCCCATAACTAACTGCTGAGGAGGGACCTGCTTTGGGGAGTAAGGGAAGGCCCAGCCCAGGGAGTGGGGCAGGGGGCTGCTTATTCACTCTGGGGATTCGCCATGGACACGTCTCAACTGCGCAAGCTGCTTCCCATGTTTCCCTGCCCCACTTCACCCCCTTGGGGGTTGCTCAAGGGTAGGTGGGCATGAGTGGTAGGAGGGCTTTTTTTTTTACCCAGGGCTCTGGAAGGACACCAAACTGTTCTGCTTGTTACGTTCCCTCCGTCTTCTCCCCGTCTTTCACAGTCCCCTCCTGCCTGCTTCTGTCCTGCCAGGTCTACCACCCACCCCACCCCTCTTTTCCGGCTCCCTGCCCCTCCAGATTGCCTGGTGATCTATTTTGTTTCCTTTTGTGTTTCTTTTTCTGTTTTGAGTGTCTTTCTTTGCAGGTTTCTGTAGCCGGAAGATCTTCGTTCCGCTCCCAGCGGCTCCAGTGTAAATTCCCCTTCCCCTTGGGGAAATGCACTACCTTCTTTTGGGGGGTTTTGGGGTGTTTTTGTTTTTCAGTTTTTTGTTTTGTTTTTTTTCCTTTGCTTTTTTTTTTCCCTTTTATTTGGAGGGAATGGGAGGAAGTGGGAACAGGGAGGTGGGAGGTGGATTTTGTTTATTTTTTTAGCTCATTTCCAGGGGGAGGGAATTTTTTTTTAATATGTGTCATGAATAAAGTTGTTTTTGAAAAAATAAAAATTGTTTGGCCTTTTGGGTGTAAGGATTATTTATCTTCCTATTCTCTCTTAGATTGAAGATGGCTGTTAATTCTACTTTGTAGAAATATTGCTGTTGTGGAGGGGAAGTTCTCACTTGTGAATTAAAGAGTAGGAGTTAAATTACAACGAACAGGAACATTATGTGTTTAGTTGGGGATGCTGGGTTTTTCTGGATAGCGTGTAACCCTGATCGACATTTGAGAAGTAAATGAAATGAGCTTGCGAAAGTAAAGGAGTAGCCCTTCTAATAGCGCTACTGTGTGCTTCTGATACAACTTAAGTGCAAATGAACTATCTGTACCAGCAGCCCTAGATTCCTGGATTGGGGTCTGGGTAACCTTTCTTGTCTTTCCTACCTCAGTGTGGGCTCAAGAAATACAAAAACAGGCTGGGCATGGTGGCTTATGCTTGTAATCCTAAAACTTGGGAGGCCGAGGTGGGAGGATCGATTGAGGCTAGGAGTTCACAACCAACCTGAGCAACATAGACTCCACCTCTACAAAAAAATAGAAAAATTAGCCAGTTGTAGTGTTGGACACCTGTAGTTCTAGCTGCTTGAGAGGCTGAGGCAAGAGGATCCTCAAGCCCAGAAGTTTGAGGTTGCAGTGAGCTATGATCATGCCATTGCACTCCAGTCTGGACAACAGAGTGAGACCCTGTCTACGAAAACAAAAAAGCAAAAACAAAACATGTAGTTAACAAATTGCAAAGCTTATGTTGTTTTCTCCAGCCCTGCAGTGACTACTTAAGATGATCAGCTAACATTTTGGATCATTTTATTGATTAGGACTTCACAACTGGCTCTCACTGTTTCTATGTGTTTTAAATTTTGCTGTGTGGTTACTTGGCCATTTTAATAACCTAGTTTCTCTGTTTTCCATTCTAATGTTGGATGGGTCTTAACATTCTTGAATACTATGTCAGTCCCAGCTCAAGCCTTCATAGACTATTACCTACAGAATTTCTTAATGTTTTGACTTCTTCATGCTTTTTTTTTTTAAGCTCTGTGGCCCAGGCTAGGGTGCGATGAGGTGATCATACCTCCCTGTAACATCAAAACTCCTGGACTGAAGTGATTTTTCTGCCTTGGCCTCCCAAAGTGTTGGCACTATAGGCGAGTCGCTGCACCCAGCCCCTTCATACTCTTATTTTGCCATTCACTTCCGGTCTCAGGATGTTTTCTTTCATGATTGCCTCTGACCTGGATGCTCTTTTTTTCAAAAATCTTAGGTTAAAGAGATGACTCTTTTATATCGATGAAGCCTTGACCCACCTCTCAAGTTGCATTGTATTCTCAGGTTAGTGTTGACCACCACTTATTTTAGTGTTTGATTATTTATTGTACTACCTCCTGTTGTGGATTAGTTAGGCATTTGAGGGCTATCTTTTCTCCTAATTCGGTAAAATAGTGCCTGATGGTCTCAGTGTGGAGACTTCTGCAGAGGCTGATGAACAAGAGGCTGGAAAAAGTGTTCAGAATTCTATTGGAAGAATGTGAAACATCCTAAGTGACTTGATGTTAATACTATGAAGGTCTCATCTATCCACCAGGGGGCACTAAATGGCTAGCTGTAAAAGATCCCTATAAATCCTTGGATCTTGGAGGACGTATGTCATTTTTTAACCCTTTTCTGGTTTTGATTTTTCGTGTTCAGTCAATTCTGTCTTGTTCATTCTTTCCATTCCTTTCACTGCTTGAGCAACTCCCTCTCATTGCAGTGGGCTCCTGGCATATGTACGTAGTTCCAAACCGTCCTTAACTGCCAGAAATGCTCCTATGATGCCACCAATAAATATAAAGTACAAACTCAAGTGTGGAACTAAGGCCTTTCCCATTTTAATCCTGATTACATTTCCTTGCCACATCCTGCCCTAAATCTGATGTACTATGCATTCCAGATGAGTTACTTTGTTTATAGCTCATGCTGTTCCCTCCAGCCTGCTATGCTCATCCCAGCTTCTCTAACAAAATCACGGGCATCCTTCAAAGTGTACCGTGGACATGAAGGCTTTCCTGATTTCGTAGTCAGAATTAATCAGCCATGCACTTGGGACAAATTTTTCCGATTTCTGTTTAGTACTTCATGGTTTTACAATTAAAATAATTATATTCCTGTTTCCCCAATAGACTGTAAGCTCCTTGAAGACATAGATTGTGTTTTTGTGTCTACCTCACAGTGCCTGCCATTTAGTAGGTGCTCAAAAGATGTTAATGTACCTTGGGGTTGCCTTTCCTGTGCTGGACAACAGGACAGGAAACAACAGTAGTGTTCCCTTTATCTTGGACCTCCTAGTTCCTATCCTTACAGGAGTCAGACTTCCTACTTTATCTGGCCTCCTATCATTTTTCCTGTATCATCCCCTGGTTTTAGAGGAAGAAATGTGGAAAGGAAGTTGCTTTCCTGGTCCAGCTTGGTTATTTTTGGTAGATGATTTCTGTTAATCACTTTGGATGAGCTCCCTGTTAAGTGAGGGATAGGAATGAGCACAACCTCACTGGGGTTCAGTGGGAGTGAAGTATCTTTAAGGAAGAGAGATTAGGGGAGGCTGTGTACAAAATTTGTTACAGAAAAGGGAGTCACTGATAAGGAAACTATTTACTGAAGAAAGGTGTCAGTTTGTCATATCTCTGATTTGCATACCACCAAAAGTTCCATTAATTTTTTAAAATTGAGATATAATTAATATACCATGAAATTTGCCTTTTAAGTATATAATTTGGTGGCTTTTAATATGTTCTATTTAGGTATTTAGTATACATTACTAGTAAATATATAGCAGCCATCACCAGTACCTAATTTTATGGCATTTTTATCATCCCCCAAAGAAATTCCATACTATTAACAAGCTTCCCATTAACCTCCTACCCCAGCCCCTGGTAACCGCTAGTCTACCTTCTGTCTATGGATTTACTTATTCTGGTTGTTGCATATAATATGTGGCCTTTTGTATCTGGCTTCTTTCACTTAGCATAATGTCTTCAGGGTTCATCCATGTGGTAGCATATATCAGTATTCCTTTTTATGGCTGAATAATATTTCATTATATAGATATACCACATTTTGTTTATCCATAATCAACTGATGGACATTTAGGGTATTTCTGTTTTTTGGCTATTACAAATAGTGCTACTACAAACATCTGAGTATAAGCTTTTGTGTGAACATACATTCTCATTTCTCTTGGGTATATACTTAGGAGTGGAGTTGCTGGGTCATATGGTGCTATCGTTTAAAAGTTTGTGTCCCCCAGAGTTCACACGTTGAAATCCTACCCCCAAAGTGATCGTATTAGGAGGCAGGGCCATTGGGGGTGGGGTGTGATTAGGTCATGAGGACAGATTCTTTATAGAAGAGGCCCCAGAGAGCTGCCTTGCTCTTTTACTCATGTGGGGATACAGTGAGAAGGTGCTATTTATGAACCAGGAAATGAGACCTCACCAGATACCAAATCTGCCAGACCCTTGGTATTAGACTTCCCAGAACTGAAAAATAAAATTCTGTTGTTCATAAGCTACCCAGTCTATAGTATTTTGTTACAGTAGCCCAAGTGAACAAACTAAGGCATGGGAACTATGTTTAACCTGTTGAGGAACTCCCAGACTGTTTTCCAAAATCATTTTACATTTTCACCAGCAATGTATGAGGCTTCCAGTCTCTGTATATCCTCACCAAACTTGTTATTATCAATCTTTTGATCCATTTTGAATTAATTCTTATGTATGGTATGAGCCAGGAATCCATTTTCCTTTTGCATGTGGGTATCCAGTTGTCCCAGCACCATTTGTTAAAAAGATTATTCTTTTCCCATTAAGTGATCTTAGTCCCATTTTTGAAAATCAATTGACCTATCTCTGGACTCTCAATTCTATTCCATTGATTTATATATCTGTCCTTTGGTACTACCACACTGTCTTCATTACTTTAGCTTTGTAATAAGTTTTGAAATTTGGAAGTATGAATCCTCTAATTGTGTTCTTTTTTTCAAGATTGTTTGGCTACTCTGGGTCTTTTGTATTTCTGTGTGAATGTTAGAATCAACTTGGTCAATTTCTGCAAAAAAGACAGCTGGGATTTTAATAGTGATCACATTGAATTAATTTGTAGATCAATTTAGGGAGTATTGCCATCTTAACAATATTAAGATGGCAGTCCATGAACACAGAATGTCTTTTCATCGACCTAGGTCTTTAATTTCTTTCAACAGTGTTTCATAGTTTTCAGTGTACAAATCTTGCGTTTGTTTTGTTAAATTTGTTCCTAAGTATTTTGTTTTTTTGCTATTGTAAATGGAATTGTTTTCTTAATTTCATTTTCGGATTGTTCATAGCCATTGTATAAAAGTACAGTTATACTGCTTCATAAAGGAGGGAAAGGAAAGAAAAAATATATTTTAAAAAAGTACAATTGAGGCCGGGCGTGGTGGCTCACGCCTGTAATCCTAGCTCTCTGGGAGGCCGAGACGCAGATTGTTTGAGCTCAGCAGTTCGAAACCAGCCTGAGCAAGAGCGAGACCCCGTCTCTACTAAAAATAGAAAGAAATTAATTGGACAACTAAAAATATATAGAAAAAATAAGCCGGGCATGGTGGCGCATGCCTGTAGTCCCAGCTACTCGGGAGGCTGAGGCAGGAGGATCGCTTGAGCCCAGGAGTTTGAGGTTGCTGTGAGCGAGGATGACGCCACGGCACTCTAGCCTGGGCAACACGGTGAGACTCTGTCTCAAAAAAAAAAAAAAAAAAGTACAATTGATTTTTTTAATGTTGACCTTATATCCTCTACAAGTCCAGTAATCTTGTTGAACTTGTTTATTTTTAATAGTTTTTTTGGTGGATTCCTTAGGATGCTCTTTATATATGATATGTCATCTGCAAATACAGAAAGTTTTAGTTCTTCCTTTCCATTCTGGGTGCCTTATATTTCATTTTCTTTCTTCATTTCCCTGGCTAGTACCTCCAGTGCAATATTGAATAGAAGTGGCAAAAGCAGATATCTTTCTCTTGTTCGTGATCTTGGGGAAAAAGCTTTCAGTTTTTCACGGAATATGATGTTTGTTGTTTTTTGTTTTTTTTTTTTGTAGATGTCCTTTATTCCATGGATGTTTAAAACAAACACTTGCTGTTCTCCAGGCACACTATATTCTGTCATGCCTTTGCATTGTTTCCTCCTTCTCCTTTCTGCCCCTGGCAAACTCAGGACTTTTAAGCTTCAATCCAAATATCTGAGAAGCTTTTCTTTTCTTTTTTTTCTTATCTTATCTTATCCTGTCTTATCTTTTCAGACTGAGTCTCACTTTGTCACCCAGGCTAGAGTGCAGTGGCATTATCCTAGCTCACTGCAACCTTAAACTCCTGGGCTCAAGTGGTCCTCTTCCTCAGCCTCCCGAGTAGCCGGGACTGCAGGCATGTGCCACCACGCTTGGCTAATTTTTCTATTTTATTTTTTAGTAGAGACGGGGTCTTGCTCTTGCTCAGGCTGGTCTCAAACTCCTGACCTCAAGCGATCCTCCTGTGTGGGCCTCCCAGAGTGCTAGGATTGCAGGTGTGAGCCATGGCACCTGGCCCTGAGAAGGTTTTCTTGACTGCCTCCAACAGAGGGTATCTTCCTGCTATGGTCTGAATGTTTGCGTTCCTCAGAATTCATATGTTGAAACCTAATCCCCTGTGTGATGGTACTAGGAGGTGGGGCCTTTGGGAGGTAACTAGGTCATGAGGGCTCTGCTCTTATAGATGGCCCCAGAGAGCTGTCTTGCCCCCTTCCACCATGTGAGGAAGCAGCTATAAGGTGCCATCTATGAAGCAGAAAGTGAGTCCTCCCCAGACACCAAATCTGCCATCACCTTGATTTTGAACTTCACAGCCTCCAGAACTGCAAGAAATTGATTCCTATTGTTTTTAAGCCACCCAGTCTATGGTATTTTGCTATAGCAACCCCAATAGACTAAGACATCTTCCTTCCTCAAGGCCGCCAGAGCACATTTTACATTTCTCTGCATTTTCCATGCAGGATTGTAATTATTTGCCTCACAGTCTTCACCCAGACTGAGCGCTTGCAGGTAAGGACCATGGGTGCCTCTTTCCCCAAACCTGAGGCTGCACCAGACAGCAGTGGCTAATCAGTAACAGTTGGTTCCATGGTGGCCAACCTAGGCTGACTGAATGAGAAGGCATGGAAGTGACCTTCATGTCACTTCATATAACTTTTTAGGGTTAGAAATGTACCCTGTGTATCCTTTTAATCTTCCCCTCAATAATCTATATTGTGAACCTAAACTAAAATCCATGTTTCAATCAGTATAATCTCTTTAAGAAAAGTAGTCATTTTTTTATTTGTCTGAAAACTATCTCCTTCAAGTTCCTGGGGTACCTTCTGAACTTCATATTAACAGATGAGTAATACTTTCTCTCATGGTATTTAGAAATATTTCCTATCTGGCATGCAGCAATGGGATTGTAGGCTCTCAATCCTCAAAATCTGGCTACTCTAACTACTTATCAGTCACATACTTTGAATAAGTTACCTCTCCAAGTCTCTGTCTCCACATCTGTAAAATCCTAAAAAATAGTGAGCATTTTTCGTGTGGTTATTGATCAAGATTCAATGAGATCGCGTGGCTGGTGAATTTTAGAGCAGCTGACAAGATGCCAGTTGTTTCAGCTGCACACATTGACCCTTTCCCCCAGCATGTGGGTTGCCTGAGGATGAGGGACGTATCTTCCACTGGGATTCACTGATGCTTCTTGAATGCTTCCATTTTCTTTGCCTTTACCTCTTTGCTTGAAATCAGAGAACCTTGCTCCCTTTTGCCTACCCTCTAGCTGGAGCTTCTCTAGCTTTCTGATTGTTTTTGCTTTCCTTCTCTAAACCTTTCTCCAGTGCTTATGCAGAGTGGGTTTATGGAAATGCTTCTTTGACACATTTCTCACAGAGTGTATTGGACTGAGCAGTGTCATTAGTATATAAATAAATAACTCTTTGGCTTTACATGGGCTCTTCAAAAAAGTTAAAGAACTTTCTTTTCTACCATCTTGTTGGTTCTCACAGAATCTCTGGAGTTAGATAGTGGAGAGTATGATCTCATTTTATCATTGACAATCCAAAAGCTAAAAAGTCAACATTGGAGTCAGTTACGGTCCCATGGACATCGTTCTACAGCACGTGTGCGGAGTGTGTAACCATGAAGGAACTGGAGTGAGGTAGAAACAGAAGCAGCCAGAAGGCCTGCGTTTGAGTCCTGGCTCTGCCACTTAGTGGCAAACCCCTTACTCTCTCTCATTTTCCATCTCCTCAGTAGTAAAACAGGGATAAAAGTAATAATACCTATATCAGAGATCTGTGAAAATTAAATGAAGAAGATCCTTATGAGTCCTCCAGTAACATCATGATTATTGTTGAGAGCCAAGCAGCACGCTTAGTTTATAGAGATTTGGGCCTCAGACGTGGATTGGCAGAGGGGAAGGCGAAAGGAACACTAACGTTGCACGACGCTGAGGGTGACGGGCCTCCCTTTTCTGGAGGGAACTGGCCTCCAGACTTTGTTTCCTAAGAATCCCTTTCTCACCAGGCGAGGTGGCTCACGCCTGTAATCCTAGCTCTCTGGGAGGCCGAGGTGGGCAGATTGTTTGAGCTCAGCAGTTCGAAACCAGCCTGAGCAAGAGCGAGACCCCGTCTCTACTAAAAATAGAAAGAAATTAATTGGACAACTAAAAATATATAGAAAAAATAAGCCGGGCATGGTGGCGCATGCCTGTAGTCCCAGCTACTTGGGAGGCTGAGGCAGTGGGATTGCTTGAGCCCAGGAGTTTGAGGTTGCTGTGAGCTAGGATGACGCCACGGCACTCTAGCCCAGGCAACACAGTGAGACTCTGTCTCGAAAAAAAAAAAAAAAGAATCCCTTTCTCCAGGACCATGCTTTCAGGAAAACTCACCTTTTCCTCCCTCCAGGAATTTGCTCTCCCTGTGCCCTTTACCTAGAGTCGAGAGTAAGAGCACTAGGTGAGGCCTGTGCCTGTCTGGCAGGCCCTTGTCTGAGGGCTTCCTGCCTCTCTGAGTGACTTCTCATCCCCTTCAAGAAGCAGCCTCTTGGTCCTCCAAACCACTGGCCTCTTTCTCCACATTAATATTCCTAGTGTTAGATGGACTTGAAACTCCTTGAAGGATGGCTTATGCCCTAAGTATCCAGGATGGTTCTGGTCTGTAAATCCGTCACAGGAAACGCTTGCTGAAAGAATGAAGAAATTATTACTCAGCACGTTTTTGAACATCTACCATGAGACAGGCATTGATGTTTCAAAGCTGAATAAGACACACTTCCTGCCCTCAAGGAGCTTACCATCTAGTGGCGTAGTTTACGAGACAGAATACATTATCTTGTTTAATTCTTATAGCAACCCTTGAAGGAAGTTGGAACCTAAGAAATTTGCCCACAGTGATAAAGCCAGGCAGGCCAAGGCTGGTTTAAGAGGTAGGCCTTGACACTGAGGTAGAAGTCGTAGTCTCTGGTTGCCTTGTCCCAGTGGTGCCAAGAGACGTGACTCCTCACTTCCAAGGGAAGTGCCCACAGGTTAGGAGTTGGGAAGGTGGCCACAGTGTGCATTGATGAATAGCTCTAGCTCTGGGATCTAATCATATCTCAGCTTTGTCACTCATTAGCTTCGTAACCTTGGGCAGGTTACTGAGGCTCTCTGACCATTGGTTGTCTCATCTGTAAAAGAGTAATAATACTTGGGTGGGCAACCAGTCCCACTTCTGCCAACAGTGCCCATGTTTTGCTTTCCCTCTCCCCAGTTGTCAGCAACGGGTGGGTGAGGCATGTTATTCCAGCTAGCCAGTCACGTGCTCTCTGGAAATGAATCTTCAGTGGGCTGACCCAAAGATTGGATCTCACTGGAGTTCATTCATCCAGAAACCCTGATGAAAATGTCCCTGGACTGGGAGGCCTCTTGGTTCCTGACCCTTTTGTGACTAGTTCTGCTTCTTCCATTCTGTGAGCTCCTATATCTAATAAATTCCCTTTTGGTTTTTCATTAGAATTAGTTTTTATTGCTTACAAACAACAACAAAAACCCTAATTGATCAAACACCTACCTTGCAATGTTGTAAGGACTAAATGATAGGAAGTGTGTAGAGCGCCTAGCCCAGTCCTGGCAGCATAGCAGGCGGTCAGTAAGTGGGGACAGTTGTAAGTTAACACTCAGGGGCAGGGCAGAGGGAGGGGAAAGGAGAGTCTTACTGGTTTGCTTGCTTTCCGCTGAGAACCACCCTCCCACCCCCAGAGAGAAGGACAACAAAAGGGAGGGAAGTGCAAGCTATGATATGCTCATTTATTCAAAATGTCTTTATTGAAACAGAATGATAGAGCAAGAAAGAAAGAGGTCTGGGTGGATGTCTTTGAGCACAGGATGGAGCCCAGACCCAGTGGTTACAGTGTGGAGCTCTCTCGCTGTCCCCTGACTCTTGCCAAGGAAGTGAACACGAAGCAGCAGGGAGGAGATGGGGGTGGGGACAGCCCTCTGAGCTCTCCTCGGCTGGCGTGAGGTGCCTCTGAGCCTTCTGGGCAGCCCTGCCTTCCTCACTCAGCCTTCCCAATCTCCTTGCCAGGGCCCTAGCTAGCTTTCTGTGTGGGCCAGCCTCCCGCCAGGGTGCTCAGAGGCCACTCAGAGGGCAGGGTTGGGGGTGGCAAGCAGTGGGACGTGGTCACAGCGGTTAGGGGGTGGCTGCTGCAGCAGGGAAGGCCGGCGACACAGCTCCCCATCCCGGAGCACCTCGGGCAGGAGCTTGCGCTTGGTCTCCGGCAGAAGCATAATGCTGAGAATGCAGAGGAGGGCACAGGCCGCCAGCACCACTTGTTGCAGGAAGGCTCCGTGGCCCATGTGGAGGCGCTGGGCTGGGCCACTCAGCCCCCCAAGTGCCCCCAGCGCCATAATCAGGCCCAGGCCACGGCCCCTGGGAGAGATGGGGGAGGCTCTCAGCTCACAGCTGCGGGCCTGCCCAGCCCTTAGCCCTTCTCCCACAGCACCCCCTCCTTCGGCCCTCAGGCCGGGCCTCCCACTGATGCGAGAGGCCTGGCCCTGCCCTGCTGCACCCTGCTCTTACCGGACAGTGGTAGGGATAACTTCAGCAGCAAGGAGGGTGCTGAGGATGGCAGCAGCTTGGGAGGAGAAGAGCCCAAGGACAGAGAAAGTGGTGATGGCAGCCTCGTTCAAATCTGGAGGATGAAGAGGGATGATAAGTGGGGAGGTAGGGAGATCCTGCCTGGCCTATCCCCAGTGTCATCCCCATGGCTCTGATCCCATGGCTGTAGCTGGGTGGGCCCTGGGCATTCACTAAGTGACTGGGAGAACAGACAGGGTGTGTGGCCAGGTGGGGGCTTGTGGAAGATCTGGGCAGGGTCTGGGTCTTGTCTTGGGAGGCCTGTGCCAGAAGTAATGGCTGAGCCTGTCCGAGGCACCTCTGTTGGGGTTCCCTTGCCGAGCCCACGCTGTGGGGGAGGGAGGATGCTCACAATCCCACAGGCCCAGCAGGACCAGGGACGCAATGCTAGTGAGGGTCATCGAGAGAAGAAGGATGCCCCGGCGGCCAAATCGGTCCACGGTGATCCCCAGGAAGACGCAGGCCAGGGCTGCTGTGCCGCTGGCTAGCAGGGAACACAGGTAGAAGTCCGATGGGCTCCCTGCTCCTCCCACAGGCTGGTAGCAGTGGCGAATGGCGTGGGCAATGAAGCTGTGAGAAGGGCAAGGAAGGAAAGAACAATGTCAGAATCCCCACCTGCAGCTGTCCACAACCCTGGTCATCTTTTGCAGGGGTCCTTGGACCTTCCCCACCCAGCCATCCCCCGTCCCAGCTACTGGCCTTGCCCTCAGCTCAGACACCCAGGCTCACTTGGTGAAGCCCAGGATAAGCAGATTTTTCCAGATGTTGCGGTAGTTGAGGAGGGAAGCGAAGGAAAAGGAGGTTGTTGCAGGGAGAGGGCAGGTGTTCTCCAGGTCTTTGGGAGAGAGAGAGGAGCTGACTGTTAGAAGGAACAGGTGGGAACCCAGGATCCTCCCACATGGGTGGTGGGGTCCCTGGGAGAACGTGACACAGCTACAACCATGCAGAGGGCACCAGCATGTGTGCACTTGAGGCATCACTCATAGGGTCCCTGCCTCTTACCCTGCAGAGCCTCCTGGGCCTCCTCCCCCAGCATCTGTCCGTGGGGGCGGTTTCGCTCAGCCAGGATCCTCAGCACAGACTGAGCCTCCTCGATCTGCCGCTTCACGATTAGCCACCGAGCGGACTCCAGAAACAGACCAGGCCAGCTGGGGGCAGGGTGGGGGGTGCATCGTGAGGCCTCCCTTCTGATTAGGGGATGGGAAACTCCCACCTCTGAGGCTGGGGCTGGGGCAGTTGGAGAAGAGGATGGGTCTCTGGGCTAGAACTAGGTTGGAGGTAGAAATGGGAATTGCCAAACAACAGGTGAAGGGCAATACTGACCCGTAAAACAGGAAGAGGATGCAGGGAGCAGTGATCATTCGCTGCAGAAATCGCCAGTCCTTAGAGACAAGGGCCAGGCCCAGGAACAGGAAGTGTCCCCCCACCCCCACCAACTCCCCTGCCAGGGCCACCCGAAGCCTCTGGGTTGGGTCACACAGCTCCAGGCCTGGAGATACAGCAGGGATGGACGGAGGCATGAGAGAGGAGAGAAGAGAAGGGAGGGAGGAGGACAGAGAGAAGGTCAGACCCTGAGTGCAGGCTGCAGCCATTGCCTCCCACCCAGACTAACCTCTGGGTGGCAAGGAATAGAGAGGTTGTTCAGTTCTCTCTCCTCTCCTGCTCAAACCTAGGAGGGCTCTAGGGTCAGAGTCCCTAGTGGGTGCTCAGCATTCCCAGTTTGCACGCCTCTTATTTGACCTTCATGTCAACCCTTGTCCAAGGTCACACAGCTAGTCAGGATTTCATTTTCTAAATAAGTTGCTATTCCCTGACAGCATTAAGTCCAGGGCAAGAAAGGCTTTAAAGATGGTTTGTGTGTGTGTGTGTGGTGGGGGAAACAGGCATGGAGAGAAGCAGGACCCCTCAATCTTCAAAGGCCTGGGCAGAAAGACAGCTGAGATTCTAGGCAGCTGAAATTTAGGGCTGAAGAAGGGACTAAGGGGATCCTAGGGGGCAGTGGGAATGGCCTGGCGATGCAGGCAGGCAGGTGTGAGACCCAAGGGAGGGACTTTCAGGGAGGGTGCCACTTACGCATCAGGTAGACACCCAGGTCAACGCCGGCGAGCAGAAAGCCCAGGAGGAATCGGAGGGCCATGACGCCTGTGGAGGAGCCTGCAGCAGCGCCCCCGACTCCGCAGGGGCCTACCAGCCCCAAAGTCAGCAGCACAATCCCTCGCCGGCCAAACCTGGAAAGTGGGGAGGGCTTCTGATCACCCAGACTCCCTGGAGGAGTTGCTGAGTGGGTCTCAGAGGCTAGAGAAGATGGGGAGGATGGGGGCCATTGGTAAGTGAGTCTGGCTAGTGGGCACCAGGTGTGGCTATGGTTCCGTCGGGGGTGGCACCATTGACTCTTGGGGTAGGGCTATTGGTCAGAGATTAGGGCATTTGTCTGTGGATGTGAGATCACCCATCAGAGCAGATGGGATTTGGGACTGTTAATCCTTAGAGATAGAGATACTGGTCAGTGGGGGTGGAGCTTGTCTTGCTCAGACTGGTCAGAGAAGATGGAGGTCAGTGATATAGGGGGTTGGAGCTATTCATCTGTGGAGGTGAAGCTATTGGCCTCTTGTGCATTGGGATAGTACTGGTCAGTGAAGAGGGAGCTATTGATATTAGGGGACTGAGTAATTGGTTTTTGGAGTTGAGGCCATTGTTCCATGGAATTGGGACATGGATCTACTAATACATAAGGATGGTCAGTGGGGATGGGACACTGGCTGGGAGATGGAGCTGCTAATTCACGGGACTGAGTCTATTAATCCATAGGCCTATTGATCAGTGGGGATGAATCTATTAATCAATGGGGATAATCAGGAAGGACAGGGTCACAGACCAGGTAAGATAAGACTATTGGCCAGTGAAAATGGTCACTAACTATAAGTTAGTGAGGACAGGGCTATTGATCCTTGGCTATTGATTGCTGGGGATAAGACCACTCATCTGTGGGAGATGAACATTGGGGGCCACTGGTCATTGGAAAGGGAGTGAGGCTACTGACCCATCGGGTGGGGCATTATTTTCATGAAGATGGGCCTATTGATTAATGTGGTGAACAGTCCTGATTTTAGGAGACTGAATTGATCTTTGGGGATGAAGCCATTGTTCTGTAGGACTGTGGAAGTGAGGCCATTGATGCATGGGGATGGACTATTGACCTATGGGTTTACGATCTCTGGCCCACAGGGGTGTGTGACTATTGGGCAGTGAGGATGGGTGATTTTAAGGAACTGGACTACTGAACATTGGGATGCCTTTGAGGCATGGAAGGTGAGCTGCTAGTCCATTTGGAGGGACTGTAGATCAGTGTGGATGGTCAGTCCAGTTGGAGCACTTGGTCCGTGGTGAGGGTGTTCAGAATCAGAGATGGGGTTTTTGATCTGTGGGGAGAGTTATTGATTGGTGGGGATGGACTATGGATCTTTGGAGGTGAGGCCACTGATTCATGGAAATGGGGATTTTGTCTGAGAGGATCTGAGAGCCCTGAGGATCCATGAGGTGGAACTATTAATCTATGGGCTATTAAACCATGAGGGTGGAGTCATATGGTGGCAGGCATGGGACTACCTTTATTGGGGATGAGGGCAATGCTCTTTGGAGATAGTTACTGACTTGTGGGGGAGGGGCCACTGGTCAGAGATTGGGTGATCTGTTTGTAAAATTGAACTACTGGTCAGTGGGAATGGGCTGTTGATATTTAGGAATTAACATATCGATTGTTAGGAATGAGACCATCGAGATGGCTATTAGTGGAAATGAGTCTATCAATCCATGAAGATGGTGAGGGAGGTGGTTAGGGTGATGAGGGCAATGCACAGAGAGATAGGACTTTTGATCTGTGGAGGCAGGGTTTTTGCTCAGTGGGATGAGACATGAGATTATTGTTTTTAGAGATGAGGCCATTGATCCATGGGTAAAGGGCAACTGATCAGCGGGAATGGGGCTAAGAGTCCATGGAGGTGGGGTCATTCCCTTGTGCAGAAGAGGTCCAATGGAAGGAGTATTTCTTGATGGGGAGTGAAGTTGAGACATGGGTAGGTCATTGACTAGAAGAAGTCCAGAGAAGACTGCAGAGTCCAGCGAATCATCTTCCACCTCTTGCAAACGCCAGCTGCTTGGTCTAGCTTCCCTAGCACCCCCTCCGTTCTACCAGCCCTGCCCCCACAACAGCCCTCACCTGTCTGCGGGGTAACCCAGGAACAGGTAGCCGGAGGCAAAGCCCAAGATGAAGAGGATCTGCTCCAGGATCACCTGCCAGCCCAGGTCACACACCAGATCCCACTGGGGATGTGAGAAGGGTGCAGCGGGCGTGAGGCCCCACCCTTGCTGCCCTCAGCCCTCCCCCAGACCCGCGGCCCGCCTGGTCGCCTCACCTGGCCAATGGCGTTGGTGGTGAGCACGGGCAGGCCATTATAGTCCCAGTCCTTGAGGCAATGGTTGAAGTCCGGCGGGGCGAAGCCACTGCACGAGGGGTCTGTACTGGTGGCGACACGGCTGGCGGCGCTGGCTGCTAGGGCCGCGCTGGCGACGCTGACGCCGCTGGCATTTGGGGGCTGCTCCCAGCCGGAGGCATTGGGAGGGAAGCCCCCGTAGTGGCAATGCAGTGGGGGCGCCAGCGTGAAGATGGGGTCGGAGGCCAAACCCAGCGCCACGAAGAGCACGGGCAGGCAGCAGAGGCCGAGCTGTAGCTGCTGGCCGCCGCCCAGCGCCCCCACCTGGGCGAGCAGCGCCTCAAAGCTGAGGGGGCCTGGGGGCACGGCCAGCGACAGGCTGCTGCCCAGTCCGTCGCCGCCTGCGTCGCCCTCCCCCTCCCGCTCGCGCTCCCGCTCACCCTGCAGCTGCTCCGTGGGCACCGCATCTCCGAGAGTCCCGACCTGCTGGGTGGCGGGGGGAGGAGAAGGGTGAAGCGGAGAAAACCGCAGAGGCAAGGGGAGGGGGCGGGCGGGAGCGAGGGCTGGGAAGGCAGGCAGGGGCCGGGGATGCGCAGGAGGAGAATGCCAGGTGCTCGGCGGGGGCGGGGGTACGGGGAGAGGATGGCGTAGCCCCCCGGGGCGCGGGCACTTACTCCGTTGGTGCTGGGGGTGATCTCTACAGTGCTGTCGATTTTGCTGCCGCCCCCGCCATTGGGCTCGGGGGTCCCCGTGGCCACCCGGGGAGCCAGCTTGCCGACCGCAGGGGGCCTGCCGGCCCGCGCCAAAAGGATGCGCGGTTCTCTGGCCCAGTTGCGCGCTGGGTGCCGGACTCGGAGAGCCCGTAGAGACCCCGCTCTGCAGCTCTGCAGCCGCGGGCGCCTCCTCGGTCTCTGCGATCTCTGCGCTGCTTTCCCCTCCCCTTCCTCCAGACTCTCCTCCCCTTCCCACGTCAGCAGAGCCTTCGGTCCAGACTCTTCGTCAGAGAGAGGAAGTGGGGCCAGGGCCCACGGGAGGGAGGGGATGGGGGTTCTGTCGTCTGTTTCCTGGGTCTGCGGGCCATTGCGGTAAAAAGGAAAAAAAGCTGAAGGATAGTAGCTAGCCCAGGCACATGCCAGAGATTCCTCTTTTGCTTCCAATCCTTTGCCATCACTCATCCGTCCACTCATTAATTAATCGGTAAAATTTGTTAAGTATCTACTATGTTCCAGGCCTTGCACTAGGCTTTGGGCATAACAGGGTGGGCAAGACCCACCTTAAAGGCAGTTACTAGTGGGGGGAGGGGGAGACACACTCGAACGGCAATTACAGCACAGCTTATGCATATGGAAGGCTGGGCTGGCGCTGTACTCAGCTCTAGCTTCAGTCCTCTACAAGGGGACCACTTCTCTGCGTTTCACCACCCCATCCTGGTTGAATCTCCATTTCTCAATAGCGTTTGGCACTGCCGACCAGCCCTTCCTCTAAACACTTTCTTCCTTGGCTCTTAAGTTGCCATACTCCCTGGTTGTTCCTCTTCTCCTTTTTTCCATCACAGGTTCATCTTCCTCTTCTGGCCCACAGTGTTGGTGGTGGGCACGGGCAGGCTGTTACAGTCCAGTCTTTGAGGCAATGGTCGAAGTCCAGCCAGGTGAGGCCACTGCATGTAGGGGTCCATGGTGGCGACACCGCTGGCAGTGCTGGCTGCTAGGGCCATTCCTGTCTGGATCATTCAGACAGCATCATTCAGTGTCTGCAATCCTCAAAGGCTTGGTCCTGGGCCCTCTTCTCATCTCACACTATTGTCTCCACCTTGGGCTCTCACCCGTGCCCACAGCTTTGATCACCACCAATGCCAACAATACAAACCTTATTCCCAGATTGACACCTCCAGATCCCACTTCTTTTGAGCCCCAGATCCATGAAGCCACCTTTTATTTGACCTTGACCTCTTTGATGACTCACAGGGACCTCAATACGTTCACGGCCAAACTCATGCTCTTCCCTCTATAACCTGGTTGTCTTCTAGTGCCTTTTTCTTCAGTGAAGGGCACCCTCATTATCCAATTGTGGCCAATGTTCAGGTGACAGCACTTACAGCGCCCTCTTCCTCACTGCATGTCAAATCCTTTACAAAATTCAGTCCATTTTATTTCCTATATATTCTCAGATATCCTGTTTCTCTCCATCTCTACCACTGTTAGTCAAGCTACCTGTTGCACAGACTACTTTAGCCCCCTAAACTGCTGTTCTGTATCCACTTTGTTTCTACTCCCCATCTGTCATATATAGTGCAGATGGAATGCTTTCCAAAATGCAGATCTGATTATGTCCCTTTCCTTCTTCAATGGCTTCTTCTCACTGTCAAGGTGAATATTAATAATCCAGACACCTCAGACCTGGTTCTGCATGCCTGGCCACACGCTCTCTGCAGCTCTATCTCACTTCTTTCCTCAAATTCTCTGCACTCCAGCCACACTGGCTGCCTTTCAGTTTTTCCAGTGCCACAGGGCCTTTGCACAAGCTGGTTCCTATGTCTAGAAGTCTTGTTAATCAAGTTTTCCACATCCTTTCAGCTCTTGGCTCAAGCATCTTTGCCTCAGAGAGGCCTTCCCTAACCCCTAGAATTGCTACTCAAAGTGTGATTCATGAACCAGCAGCATCTGTATCACCTGGGACTTGTTAGAAATGCAGAATCTAAGCATCACCTAGGCCCTTGAATCATAATCTGTATTTTAACCAGGTCCCCAGATGTATGTACATTAGAGACACACTTCTCTAAGAGATTCGATACCTGATAGGTACTTTATTCTCTAATCCCAGGTATGGGCTGGAAAGGAACATCTCAGGCTGGAAATCATTCCTTTCTTTCCATCAAATCACACCTTTAACTTGTCTCCTGTGTTCAGAAATTTTCCAAATATGGAAAACCCTTCTTTTCTAATGCATCGAGCTGCCTCCCACCACTTCCCTTCCTCCAACTCATTTCAGCATCTCCTTGGGATTTACTACGGTGCTGTCATAGCCAATATTCCTTGGGGATTTGTCTGCAACCTTGTGTCTGTCCTGGAATATAATAATAATCCCTTAATTTTATGTGGTGCTGGGCTGTTCACATGCATTATATTGTTAGGTTTTCACAACAACCCTGTAAGACAATTATGATCATCCTCATATTAAAGATGAAACCAGGACTCAGAGGGACTGGCATGATTTAACCACAGACACACAAGTACATAGCACACCTGAGACTGGAGCTAAAAACTCTAATTCCAGGATAACTTCTTGAAATTCTGTCTGGAAGATGATAAGGGATGGCCTTCAACACATAGGGGTAAATTCTGTTGGCTCCAGAGTCTGGAAATGAGTTTTCCTTTGAGTGAAGTGAGAAAGGAGACTAAAATGGAAGGGGCAAATGCATAGAGGTGCCAAGAGACTAAGATTGTGATTGAAACTTGGGAGGCCCCCAATCCAATCACCATGTTAGGGTAACATCTTTGGAAAGCAGAACTGAAGCAGTGGATCTGTGGCTCAGACTACTTCCCTTGTAAATGGCTGGAGTAATCCCTCATCTAAGCCCTGGGCTCATCAATTTCACTGAAGTCCTGAGGACTATGGAATTCCAACACATTGCATTTGTCTGCCACCTCAGCTCCTCTAAAAGATAGTTTGTCCAGGATGATCAGCAGGAAGCCTGGGAAGCAGAGTGTAAGGGGCTAGACTCTCTTGGGGTCACCTAAGGAAAAGGGTGCCAGGCTGGCCAATAGTAGTCTCCAGTTGGTTAGAGCTGTCCTATTGTGCAAAGATGAGGCTAGGCCTTTGGTTAGGGTGGCTTCTCCAGCATGCCATTTTTTCTTTTTTTTTTTTACACAGGGTATCACTCTGTCCCCCAGGGCTAGAGTGCAGTGGTGTCATCATAGCTCACTGCAACCTCAAACTCCTAGGCTCAAGGGATCCTCTTGCCTCAGCCTCCTGAGTAGCTGGGACTACAGGTGTGCACCACCATGCCCGGCTAACTTTTCTATTTTTTGTAGAGACAGGGTCTCACTTAGGTTGGTCTCAAACTCCTGGCCTCAAGTGATCCTCCCACCTTGGCCTCCCAAAGTGTAGGATTATAGGCATGAACCACCACGCCTGGCCAGGGCAGCACATTTTGAGGCTCTCATGGGGTCAACCTCTCTCCACATCGACATCTCTCTAATTACATCATTTGACAATGAAATCTTGGAGGAAGCCCCCTGGGGTCAGTAGTTGATATCTACCTTCTTGGAACACTGGTCTTCAGACTCTTCTTGGTTCTCTCATCCTCCAGGTTGGTTTCAGCTCATATATCACTTCCCTACCATCCCGTCCTAAAGTCTCCTTCACTGGCGCCTGTCCCCTCCTCTAGTTAATCTCTTCACATCACCCTGTTGATTTCCATCACCATCACTGTCAAATCTGTGGCGGCTTTTTTTTATTTACTTATTTTAACTGACTTGTTTATGTCTATCCCACCCTCACTAGGAAGGTACGTTCAACGTGCACTTTCAGAACTGTGCCTGGTGTGTCAGGGGAGCTGAGAACCTGTCCAGTGAATAGTGTTGAAGAAAGGAGCAAAGTCTCCCCTAAACCCCTAAAGGTATCCTGCTCACAGGGTGTGTCCCATAGGTATGGCCAAAGGGCACCAGCCTGCCCCCCAGACTCCCAAGAAGCAGTCAGGGAAGGAGACAGCAGGGTTTATTGAGGTGCATGCCCACACCTGAGCCCAGCCCTCTCCTGCCTTCAGAGGGGAGGAGCAGCCTGATCTCTCCCCAATTGTCACGTTCTGCGCAGTCCATGTCCTGCCCTCACTCTCAGCTAATAGTGTGGTGCTGATGTTCCAGAGGGAAAGAGAGAGGCTCCGTGTAGCCCCAGGTTTCTGCCCCCCTGATTCTCTGGGCAGGCAAGCTTCCAGAGGTGGGTGGCAGTGCAGTAACTTCCACCCTAGGCTGGAGGAGAATAGTCAAACGCCTCCCTGCCCCAGAGGGCCTCCTGCCTGCCCCTGACAAAGCAGGGAATAATATTAAATATAAATAATTTATACAAAATGGCTTGTACAAAAAGCTGCGGGTTAGGGGGAGGAGATGCCTCTGTGAAAGGCTGAGATGACAGCAAGGGGTAGGAAAGGGGAAAGATACCGCCCCCTCTCCTAGTCCTTAAAACAGAACCCTCCAGCCACCCAAGGATTGGAGGGGGCTTTGGCAGGCAGGGGAGGGGCAGAAATGTCCCAAGGGCCCCTCAAGGGGCCAGGCTGGTGAGCAGGGTGGTGAACTTTAGGGCCTGACCCGCCAGTTCCACCACACACTGCACCATCTCTTGGGCCGCAGGGCCGGATGGGTAGCCCAGGGCGGCCCCCTTGACAGCCAGCACAGTGGCCCGCAATGTCTGGCCCAGTGCTGTACCTGCAGCCCCAACCTGTGCTCGCAAAGGGGCAGAGGCTGCCAGCCGGCCCAGTGTGTCCCCAACAAACACCAGTCGGTGAGCAGCCACCACCACCCTCTTGCCATGGGGTACGAAGAGGCGTGGGGGTTGGTTAGTCTGGGTGCTGGACATCAGGGCCGCCATGGCTGCCTGCAGCGCCGAGTAGTGGCTCTGGCACTGCCCTGCGTAGAAGTGCAGAAGCTGTAGATCTCCGGAGGACAGAAGCAAAGGCTCCCCTGGGGACAAGGTCTCCTGAGGAGCAAGAAGAGTGGTCAGTGGGAACATGCTCATCAATGCCACTTTCTTCCCTCACTTCTTCTCGCTTCCCTCCCTTCGTTCTTCCTTCCTTCCTTCCTTTCTTCCCAAGGGCAATCCCTTTAGCTCTTACCTTTGCCCATCAGAAAATTAGATTCTTAGAGAGAGGCAGTGAAGCATCCAGACTTAATGTCAGAGCTGGATTCAAATAACCTCAAGTCTCTGAACTTCTCTTTCCTTATCTCTAAAACAGGGAGTCTAGAACTATATTGCCCAATATAAATGTAATGCAAACCACATGTGAAATTTTAGAATTTTTAGTAGCCACATTAAGTAAAAAGAAATAGGTATAATATGTTTTATCTAATTCCAAATAGAAAATTTCTAATTTCAACATGTAATCAATATGAAAATTATTGAGTTTTTCTCCATACTAAGTCTGCAATATCCAGTGCACATTTTATATTTATAGCACATTTCAATTTGGTCTAGCCATATCTTGAGTGCTCCACCTGTGGCTAGTGGCTACTATATTGGATAGTGCAGTTCTAGTATGGACCTCATAAAGATGCAGTAAAGTTTTTTGATTTTGATTTTGATTTTTTAAGAGACAGGATCTTGCTCTGTCACCCAGGATGGAGTACAGCAGTGTGATCACAGTTCCTTGCATCCTCGAATTCCTGGGCTCAAGCAACCCTCTTGCCTCAGCCTCTCAAGTAGCTGGGACTACAGGTGTGTGCCACCAGACCTGGCTAATTTTTCCTTATTTTTTATACAGACAGTCTCGCCTGTGTTGCCCAGGTGGGTCTCAAACTCCTGGCCTCAAATAATCCTCATGTCTCAGCCTCCCAAAGTGCTAGGATTACAGGTGTGAGCTACTGCGCCCGGCTTGTGGTGAAGATTCAGATAATATATAGAAAGGGCTTAGCATAATGCGTTGCACACTGTAACCACTGCCTGAGTATTAACTATGATTATAAT